AGGGCTGACAATGAACCGAACCAACTCGAAAATAGTTCGGAATTCGATTCGACAATTAAATCGTTGAACTAGGTTCATGAACCAAATGAGTTGAGTATGAGCGAAAAATTAAGTTCGTTAACTAAATGAGCTGAACTTGAACTATACATAGTTTGACTCGTTAGGTTCATGAGTCAACTCGATTATATATGAGAAGAATTATACTGTCTTTAAGATTACGTTTAAATATTTACTCCAAATCTTAGACAAATTTAATCTTCAATTTAGTAGTTTTTGAATTAGACTCTCAAATGTATCTCTTGAAAGTTGTGTAGGTTTCGAAGATAAAGTTAAATTTCAATATGATAACTTTTATTTTATTTTAATATTTTATTTTTAAAAAATATATTTATTTAAAATGTCAAATATACTAATAAATATATATATTTAAAAAAATAGTTTTTAAGTTTGTGAATATTTGAGCTGAACCTAATGAGATGAACCTAACGAGTTGAACCGAATTGTTTGTGAACTTATAACGAGTCGGGTTTGAGCTTAAAAAAAAGTTCGTGTCAAACTCGAATTCAAACCTGAACTTGAACCAATTCTTAACGAGTCGAACCGATATGAGGTGAGTTCGACTCGACTCGACTCATTTCCAGCCCTATTTGTAAGTCTTGACAATGGTTTGGTTAATGAAACGATTATGTGTTGCAATTCTACAACTCTATACCACAATTATATTATCTTTTGTAGACAGTTATGTTTCACCATGTAGACCAGTCAAAATGAGTCTTAAGAATCTGTTTTACAAGTTTGCAATTTCTTACCACATCTGTCACAATTCTGGTATACCTTATACAATAGAAAAATTGGAAGGACTTCTTTGTTACATTTTAAAAACATATGAGACTCAAGTGTTACCAATTAAAAACATGATGGTCGTGATTGTTACAAATTTAAAAAATGAAGGACCTGTTTTTTACATTTAAAAAATATCAGACATATTGTTTTGCACAATGGTGAGCCTCAAACAAACTGAATATCAAACATTTATGAAACTCAAAGCATTACATTACATTACCAAACATTACATGATATGTGAATAGACTACCAAACAGGACATTAACTAATCATAATCAAAGGTCTTTGTTATAATGTTAAAAACCAAAACAGATATCAATAGATCAGATCCCATAACATTACATGAGATTGTTATGGATCTACCAGATCCCAAAACATTACATAAGATTGTTTTATAAGTCACCAGAATATAACATTGTTATAGGTAAAAAGACAATCTATTTGGCTTTTCTCCTAATAGCCAACTTTAGTCTCATTGTTGTTGGTGGCTGAAATGTTGTTGTACCAGCTTGTCTTCCTCTTCTCATAGCAAGCAACTGTGACACTGAGATGGACTGTCGTGTCTGGATTCTAGAAAATGATGTTGACAGCCTAGTTTGAACTTTGCGGGTTGTTTGAGATTGGACAGTTGTAACTAGAGGGGTTGTTTGGGATTGTGCAGTTTAAACTCCTTAGGATGGTTAGGATTGGACAATTGAGACTGTAGTGGTTGTTTGGGATTAGACTGTTTGAGATTGGTCAATTTGGAAATTAGTTGCAGTTTGGGCCTGTTTTGGTTTTGCAGGACATGATGATTTGTTGTGCCCAGACATACCACATATTGAACATTTGTTTGGTAGCCCCTTCCTTGAAACATTTTTTTGCATCCTTTCTCTTTTCATCAACCTTTTTGTTTCTTCTTCTTTTTGGTCTCCCTGGTGCTCTTCTTGAAGGTGGTGGTAGTATGTCAGGATAAGGTGTATGTTCCCATAAAATTTCCTCATTTGTTGGATATATGAAAGATTGGTAGCAAGCTTGGTATGCCTCCTTACTATAACATGCAGGGATGTAGTCAACTGGGTTTAAAGATCTATTCTGCATACAAGAAATTGCATGGTAGCATGTTATGCCAGTTAACATCCAACTCCTACAAGAGCACTCCAACCTTCTGAGGTCAACTATAAATTTTTCACCACTCAAACTTGTATGCCTCACTTCATAAATCATGTCATCTGACAACCTTTGAAACAAATTCAATTGATTAAGTTAGTGTTGGTAAAATTAAAAGAACAAGTTCTGTTAATGACTAACTTGTAAATAGATTATGTACCTTGGTATAAAAACCTATACATCTCTTTCCTTCTTTCGAGCAATTTTTTAATTCTCGGAAGAACAGATCTCGTATGCTCTTCTATCTTGGCTCTATTAGTTGCCCATCTATCCATGAGGTACTCTCTTATCTCCTCCATCATTGTTAAAATTGGCTTTTGTCTTGGTCCAATTATAACACTGTTAAAAGTTTCAAACATATTGTTCACCAAGACATCACTTTTTGTATTGTATTTGAAGATAAACTTACTCCAATATCTTGGAGGAGTCTTCCATAAGTGTTTGAATGCCTCCTCATTAACCTTCATCATTTCCTTCATCTCCCTTTCCCGTACTTGAGGATATGTTGCCTTTGCTGCCCTCCACATCAATTCCTTCAAATGTTTTCCTAGAAATCTTTTTCTGAAGTTGCTATAAAGGTGTCTAACACAGAGTCTCTGGTCAACTCCAGGTAATAACTCATCTATTACAAGTAACAGTCCCGAATCATAAATTAAACATAGTACCTTAAATCCATTCCATTATGAACAACATAACTAGTAATAGCTTCTTTGAACTCCTCATTTATTGAGAATAAGGTTCCCAAAACCCACTTATAGTTATTGAACTTCCTAGGCATGACAAATGATGGGTACTTAACATTGCCATCTTGACCTGAATTTTCACTGCTACCTTCATCCTCACTCACTAAGTCCTCAGTTTCATACTCAGAATCTGACAAACCACGACAAACTTTCTTACCTCTGTTTCTTTCCTTAACTCCAAGATCAATGACATCTTCATCACTAGATGCTTCACCACTTATGATGGAAACTCTCATTCCTTCATCCACATCTTTTTTCTTAGGTCTACCCTGGTGCCCCTTGGAACTGACTTTTGACTTCTTCTTTGATGATCTCTCTCCTTTCCTTTTTCTATTAGGAGTTGTGTCATCTGCTAATATATCATCATTAGGTTCAACACTTTGGCCTGCAGGTGACACTCCTTCTCTTACCAATACTTCAGCAAATCCATCATTCAAAACCTCATCATCCGAGTCAACAAAATCCCTTTCCCCTAATGCACTTTCATCACTATCATTTTGTTCCTCAAGCCGGTCCACACTTTGATCCATATTTTCTTCCTCGTGATGGTCCACACTTTGATCCATATTTTCTTCCTCGTGATGGTCCCCACTTTGGTCCACAACCACATCCATATTTTGTTCCTTATCTTGGTCCACATTATCCTTCACATTGTCCTCAGAAGTCTGGTCCCCACGGTCCTCCACAATTTCCTTAAAATTCTGGTCTCCACAGTCCTCCACATTATCCTCAACACTCTGATGATAGTGACAGTCATCCATATTATCCTCAACACCCTGGTCCCCACAATCCTCCACATTATCCTCAACACCTTGGTCCCCACAATCCTCCACATTATTCTCAGATTGTGTTTTAGGTAGGGCAACATCTAAATTTGTTTCGTCAATAGGGTGAACTATATATATGTCAACCTTCCCCTTAGTCTTGGACTAATACAATGCTTATAATGCACCAAAATCATATTCCAACGCCTTCAAAGTTCCAGCAAAGTCATACCACATTTCTTGAACTCCTGGATACTTCATTTCTTTAACAACCCCTAGAATTTCAAAATAACTCCATCTGTCGCCATCACACTTCCAGTTTGACACTTCACCTCCTACATTTTTGTCCTCAACGAAATACCCTCCATGATGAAAGTCAACGTAAAAATCATTCATAACCATTATGTTCCTGTATGACGCAAGTGTGTGTAACATTAACCTAACCACCAACCTATTCAAATACAAGACGAAGAAGAAGAAAAACCATCACTGACTAGATATACATATCTGACTGTATCCTGAGTGCAATGAATTCTTCACCTTCAATGTACAACCAATCCTGAGTGCAAGACGAAGAAGAAGCTTCACCAGCAATGGAGGAAAGAAAATTAAGGCTTAGTAACTCTTAATTTGTAAGAGTCGTTGCTTAACCACTTGAGGAATAACACAAATTTCACATCATCAACTCTCAATGACACTTCACCAACGTTACCTGCCACTTCATCACTGTCTGTGCCACATTGGTTTTTTTTGAAACGGAAAATCTTAAAAAGATTAATATTACAAACGTTAGTTAACTTAAAAGATTAAAGTGTTACAAAAAAAACTTATGGACTAACTTACTACTTTAAAATAACTTAAAAGACTAAAATGTTAAAAAAAAACTTACCAGCTTTAAAGTAAATTAAAGAATTGCCACTTTAAAATAACTTAAAAGACTAAAATGTTAAAAAAAAACTTACCAGCTTTAAAGTAAATTAAAGAATTTTTTCCAAAAAAGTTAAACCCCTAAACTAACAAAACCTCTCGGTGAAAAAAAAAAAAGCAAAATCTGAGCGGCTCTCCATATGCAGCGCCTGCGACTTTGACCTTGTATCAGAAACTCGCACTGAACCTAACTGACCGTAAAAACCAAAAGCCGCCGGAAAACGCCGCCGGAACTGCTCGTCTGCCGCCACAAACAGTGTTAAACTCTGTCCGTGTTTTCTTTTTTTTTTCTTCCAGTTATTTTGTTTGGATTCTATTCCAGCTCGTTTTTGCGGCCGCCGTAGCCGCCTTTGCAACTAGTTATTGAATCGCATCGCAGCATATCAGAGCTCCACTCCGCATCGCGATTCTGCTATTATGTGCTAAATTGGCGCAAATGAAAGCATAGTATTCTCCATAGTCGACTCAGATCCGTTGCGGATCTGTTTTAGTTAGGTTTATCTTGTTTATTGGGCTATTGTGATGTAATTTGACTATTTATTGCAGGGTTTGGTGCATTTCATTCTGATTCATTATGGCAAATGGTCCAGCACCTTTTTTTGAAATTGGCAAAAGAGCAAGAGGTAATCCTGCATTTGAATTCAATTTTATTTTCATATGAACCTTGGTTCCCAACTGTAATTTGTAACCTTAGCAAAGTCTTGTTGCTCTTTCATGATTCTAATAGGTTCCCTCATTAGAATATTGAATAACTCAATGACTATTTAGCACCCACACCTCTGAAAAAAGGAGTGCCTGTGTCCGTGTCGATGGCGGACACCTGCAAGGACGCTTGTGATTATGTTTAATTTATTAATTTTTTAAAAAGTTATTGCCAGTGTCACTGTGTCATATGTTTGGGTGTCCGTGCTTCATAGCTCATTGATATATGTATCGTTACAATTAGTATGGTAAAATGTCATCCACTGTGGATTTTTCACGGCCAATTTTCGAAGATTGGTGGCACCACTGTCACTTAAAATGGCAGATTTTTGGCTATCTGCCATTGTCCGCTGGCCACAATCGATATGTCACTTAACCCAAATACTTTGAACAAGTTCAATAGAATTTATCAACCTACCGGATTGTGGACTTTCTCAATGTATCACCTTACATGTGTATTAGTTACACCAGGCCTGAGGCATGGTATGATGTATGACTATGATAACTATGTAAGCTAGCTAACGCGTTTATAAAGTTTTTCTCCTTTTGGTTTACCTTGCTGATCATTAGAAGTCACCTGTGGTCAAACTTCTAGGTTTTTGGTTGTCAAAATCTTTATATTTTCTATTAAGTCACGTCTAAGTTTTCTAAAATATTTTGATTGTACTAACTTGTGAATCTTCTGGTATGCTTACAGATCTCTTATACAAGGATTATAACTTTGACCACAAGTTTACCCTGTCGGTTCCAAGTTCCAGTGGATTGGTAATTCTTATCCCAGTTTTTTTAATTAGTATAATTTTTTATACATGTTTTTCTTATCAGTTGAGTGTTCAGTTTCTCATTAGTCATTACAGTTGATGCGTAAATATTAAATCCTTTTTGTTTGAATATGCCATAGTTCTAATCACATGCACAATCATACATTATGAACATATAATTGAAATGTTCTTTTTTTGGACTCAATAAGTAAAACGTTATTTTAGATGCGATTCTCTCTTTCTGTGTGCGTGCAATGTTAACATGATTCTTCTTGCGTATATTATGATGATTTTTTAAATTAAATCCACTTGTGACTTGTCTATATTTTCTCTTTAAACTTTCAACTGAAAAATAAACAGAGATGAATAATGAATATGTTTTATATAATATACATGATTGATGTTGCACTTAAGTGTGTTAGATTTTATTCATTGAAATACGGGGTTTTACTCGTTTTTATTGTTATAATCAAATATCATTGGTTTGCATTATCTAGTTAACTCTGAGATACCAATATAGAAATATGTATATTTACAAGAAATCGTTTATCTTATATAAGGTAGTATATTAGATATGTTAAAGCATCGGAAGACATCATGTATTGTAAATCTCTTAGTAGTGAATCATGTGTGTTGACTATCTAAACCTATTCCCTCCCACCATATAAAGTTGTACCGGCATTGGTTGTTTATATATTCCTATGAGGCTGGGTGCTAAAGAGCATACATATTTGTGGCAATTGGCAACTTGTATTAATGTTATGTTGTATGAAATGTATTCTGAAGCAGAGAGAAATTATTCTGTCCTTGAAACTGATGTAGTTCAAATTAATTTTTCCATTTGGCAGGGCCTTACGGCTACAGGGTTTAAGAAGGATCAGTATTTTGTTGGGGACATAAATTCGCTTTACAAGAGTGGAAATGTTACAGTGGATGTGAAAGTTGATACATACTCTAATGTAAGTAGAGTTTTTTTCTCCATAAAATATTATTCTTTATATATATGATAATATATGTACTACTGCTTCTCTTAATCTTTTGATTAGTGATTTATGCAAAAGTTCAAACTTAAAAAAATTAAAACTGGTTCAGTTATGAATGGTGATTTTAACTGAATCCAATAGTTAGCAAATTAGTAAGATACTTCATTTGAGTCTTTATCATCTCTTAATCATTATGATGTTTATGTAATTTACCTCCTCAGGTATCTACAAAAGTGACTTTGAACGATGTTTTCCATAGTAAAAAAGTAGCTTTGAGCTTCAATATACCCGATCACAAGTCAGGAAAGGTGAGTAAAATCCGAATTTCAATGAATGCTTCATAAGACTGAATTTAAGTATACGATGTTTTATATTTGCTCCGAAAAATACTCTGTTGCCAAAACCTTTAATTCTCTATCTTTGTGGATTCATAAATTTCATTACTCTCCTACAATCTAATGCATACTAGCAATAATGGTGAAGCTTTTCAAATAAGCTCCTTAGTTATAGAAGGGGCTGCGTTCCTTAAGTTATGCTGAAAATTGTGGCTGGCATATTATTGGTGATTGTTGATTAACTTGACTGCAATAGGTTACTAGCATATTATTTGAAATTGCAAGTTGGTAAGCTAATATACCATATATTTTTTGGTGTATGAAGAGATGCGGTAGATAGATTGTCTCTTTGTGATTAAAGTTATCGATAAATGAATAACAGTAACAACGATAAAGGGAAGTAGCTTAATGAAACAATCATTGCAGTCATGGTGTGTGACTGCCTATATTTGTCAATTTTTAACCCTTTCCAAACTCATAAATATAATGCTGTTGAGGTTCTGCTTCCTTCCAAAGGATCCTTTTCATATGCTTAGCAAGATGTCTGCAATGTATTTACTTTGGTATTCTTTTGATGCGTCTGACTGTGGAATATTATTGTCAGTTGGATGTACAATATCTTCATCCTCATGCAGCTATTGATTCCAGTATTGGCCTGAACCCAGCCCCTCAATTGGAGATCTCAGCTGCAATTGGAAGCAAAGATGTATCTATGGGTGCTGAAGTTGGATTCAATACAACTTCTGCTTCATTCTCAAAATATAATGCTGGGATTACCTTCAATAAACCAGATTTCTCTGCAACACTTATGCTGTAAGTGTTGTTTGGTACCGAATTTTCCCAGTTCTATTCTATATCATAGTTCATATGATAACATGTTAATATATTTCAATGTTTCAGTAACATGTGTTTTACTATTTTCAACTAGAATCTGAGAAGTCCTATCAGAAATGCTAGACAATGTTGTGAACCTCATAAGCATGGCTAGTACCATTACATTTTCTGAAAACATGATTTGTTATTTGTTACTTTTAAACAAAATATTTTAATGACAAGAAACGAATAAAAATTGCCTTTCGTCCAAATCTTGTCTTTTTCCATGACTTTCAATCCATTGGTAGCTAAATTTAAAACTTAATAATTTTAGGATTTTAGAAAATAAAATGAAGTTCTAGTTACCTAATTTACTTGATTTAAATCTTTTTGCCCAAAATAATTATTGAATTTGTTATTGTCCTATTGTTGATAGTAATGAACAAATTAAAATACTTTAGGTTATCATTTATTTTCTTAATATTATTATATTAAGTTTATATAGAAATAAAAGGCAAACGGGCTACGAGCTACGCCGCAACAATTTTTTTAAGACAAAACCAATCCTCTTAAAAACTGCATCCGTTGACCTAAGAGATACAACATTACTATGTGATAGAGTAACATAGCCCAATGTGTTTGACGACTCAATCATTGAGCCTAAGTCACACACTTAGAACTTCTAGAAGGTTGTGGAAGCCGGAGGAATAAAAGTTGGTTAGAATTCTCCTTATCTTTAGGGTAGGATATTCTGTTATAAAAGGAGAATGGATTAGAGAATTCATTCATAAAGTTTGTTAAAAAACAGTTAGGAGATAATTCTCTTTGGTTTAGGAGCCTAGCTCTGGTTTAGGAGTTCATAGAACTCTGATTTACTTTTTCTTGTGCCATTTTCACCATTGTAGAGCCTTGAGCTCACCATTTTCCAGTCAATATATACCGTTTCTTTTCTTGATTTTTCTGGTTCTATCATTGGTCCAACCTATCGAATTCAAACAAGGAGGGTCAGCGAATTAGAATCACGAATGCCACCAAAGATGATAGATCGTGTAGATGCGTTGGGGATGTCAATGTCGATGGAAGAACACACATCTCATCAATCATTGCTTGCCTCCACTCGGGGTGAGACAACGCTTCACCTGGAGTTTTAAGAATAGAAACAGAAGACAAGCAAATATAATGCAAAGGGGAAAGACAATGATAACATAAATCAATATAATGTGGAGAAGTAATCTGTGTTTGACGTATGCCTGTTCGAAGGACAATCAGAAGATTGGACTAAGGTGGCAAGATCAGATCTGATGATGGCGGGGGCGTTGGAGGAGTGTCTGCAATGACCTCAAGGGGAAACAAAATTGAGTGAGGTATTTTGTCATTAAGGACAGATAAGGGCATGCAGTTTATAAGATAACATGTTAGCACAACATCCCCCCAGAACCGAAGTGGAACATTTCCGTGGAGAAGTAGGGTCCGAATGGTTTCTACAAGATATCTATTTTTGCGTTCGGCTACACTGTTTTGTTGAGGTGCATGAACACACGATGTTTGGTGGAGTATAGCATTGTTGGACATAAAAATTTGAAACGGTTGGGATAAGTATTCGCGAGCATTATCACTTCTTAAGGTACAAATAAACACATCAAACTGAGTTTTTATTTCTTTATAAAATTGTTCAAAAATAGAAAATAATTCAGATCTATTTTTCATTAAAAATAACCACGTGCAACGTGAAAAATCATCAATAAAGGTGACAATACCTAGACTTAAGAGTAGAGACAATATGCGAGGGACCCTAAACATCAGAGTGAAGTAAAGCAAAAGGTGACGAAACCAAAGGTTGAGAGGGAAGAGAAAAGATTTTTATTACCGGTAACATGAACAAATCCACCAGAATCAAGGACCCAAGGTCATGGAGAAGATGATTGAGAGAGGAAAAAAGATGAATTGTGTGCAACTGAAGTAGTAGAATCTGAGTTCTGATAATTTAGATACCACCTAAGGAAATCATCGTAGTTTGGCGTAAAGTTCTGAGGAATAGCCATGAGTATCTGAAGAGAGAAAATATCACGCGAATCGGATGAAAACAACTCTGTTTGAATTGGAGCATGTTTTTTTGTAAGACGAAAATAAAAATCGAGGTCGGATCTGGTAGTATTGAGCAGCGAGTGAGGCAGGGAAAACCGCGTTGGAATCAGACATTAGATCGGTGGTTCTAGCAGCGGCGTGAGTCCCTCGTGTGAAGGTTGTGACAGCGCGTGGGGACGTCTGATGAGGCTTTTGGCTGCGCGCTAGGCAGACAAATCTCTCTGCGGTGGTGGTGTGTCAGAAAGTCACTGGAATTAGTTGCGACGAAGGCAGCAGGTGGTGACCGGAGGGTTAGGAAAAACTGATACCGGAGTGATTCACGACAGTGAATGAAAGGAAAACCAGAGTTGGGATACGGTTTGCCGAAAAAATTCTCACCGAAAGACAGTGGGTCAACCGGGTAAAACACGGTGAAGGGTTGACTCTCGGTAGGCTCTGGATACCATTTTAAGAATGTTTGGTTGGGCCTAACTCGACCCTATAAAACCGGCTTGTAAGGTGTCAGTACCCCCACTTATAAACACATCTTTAGGTCATATAGTGTTCGATGTGGGACCGTTAACACCCGCTAACGCTCAGGATTTGCGTCTGGAGCATGAAACTAAATGGTGGGTGGTCCGTTGGATCTTAAACAAGACTCTAATACCATGTTGAGATGAGAGAGACTAAGATGCATTTGAATTAAACCGTATGTTTTAAAAAGTACGACGGAGACTCTATTATATAGAGAGAGATTACAACTTATTACATAATATAGTTGATGTGAGACTATTCTATACAAATATTCTTATTGCTATATATTTACAAATATCAACAAAAGTCATGGACAATGAAAAATTATGCTTCTCCCATACTCTACAAAAGATGTCTAATTGAGGAATTTTGACAAACACGTGGATAACAGCAGAAGAGCATTTTGCTGTGGTTGTGATGTTGTCTTGCTCTACACCATTTGAGGAAAGTTTAAAGTTGTGAGAGGGTGGAGGTCGAGGTTGAAGAGAGATGGGTTGGGGTTAGAGAAGGTATTAAGGAGTTAAGTCATTGGGGTTGTGAGTGAGGACGGTGAAGATCTGTTAAACGAGGTCGGATTGTTGGTTGAGAGAAGAAAAGGGTGTTGTTGGAATTTTATTTCGGTATAAATTTTTTTTTTTAAAGTAGGGTATTGAAATTAGGGTGACAAATAAAGTAGGATTTTGTAGAGTTACCTTAAGCTGGGAAAGGATATTGGAATTCAAACCAAAGTCGTTTCTGAGAAGCGCAGCCTTAAATCGATCAAAGAGCTGAGAAATCTCGGTTAGTTTTGGATCTATGTCATAGATATTTTGCAAATGCAGTTGATGAGTGCTTCGAACAAAAGAACGACAATGACCCTTTTAAGTTTTACCTTCGCAAGCGGCGACAGAGAAGAGAACTTGATTTCAAGACCCACTTACTGCTGAAGCTTATGCCATGTAGTATGGTTTGAAGTTTGCGAAATCGTGAGGGATGAAGTAGATTGAAGTGGAATTGCAGAACGAGATGGTGGAACAAGAATACCCAAAACTCTGAAACCTAAAAGTTCCGAGTTGCTATTGAAGAGTCTAGCTGAACTAATTGCAGTGCACTAGACTTGAGGGTATTAATAGGCTTTATTTCTGGAATTTTAAATTGGTTAAAACCACAGTTCATCTAATAAAACAAACGCATGCATTTTTGCAGTTAGATTATTTCCTTTCCTTTTTGTTAGTGTCTTACTTTTGCTTACCCTTTGTGAATGTTGTCATTGCTTTCAAAAGCTGTAGGATTCAGGAAATATGTTTATCTGCTTTGATAGAGAATCTTTCATATAACAATATCATCAACTCACTGTTTTTGCAGGGCTGATAAAGGAGAGGCCCTGAAGGCATCGTACATTCATTATGTGGACCGCCCAGACGGATTAACAGTTGCTGCCGAACTTGTTCACAGGTTGTCCTCCTCTGAGAACAGATTTACCATTGGGACTTCACAGTCAATAGATCCAAAAACAGTTTTGAAGACTCGATTCAGTGATGACGGCAAAGCCGCCTTCCAGTGCCAACGAGCCTGGAGGCCAAATTCACTCATAACCCTATCTGCTGAGTATGACTCCACAAAGATATTTGGTTCACCTGCCAAATTTGGTCTTGCTCTCGCTCTCAAGCCTTAAACCGGTTTGCCGATTGAATCTTATTCGACAGATTTTTAACTTCACAATTCTATCATTTTACATTGTTGCCATTAGTGGGATGTTTTAAGCCCTATCATATATCATAAAGGTAAATCAAAGGAATCAGTATCATTTGTGCATTTTTCTAAAGCGGCAGGCGGAAAGAGACACAGTTTTGAAACTTACATAATGACTATAAATTTGTAGCTGATTTATTGTAGTGCCATTCAGTATCTGGCATATGATTTTGGAGCCAAGTACTATTCATTTCGATGCAGATGTGTGATGTCTAATTTATTGAGCAACATATCATTCTATTTCACCAACACTTCATCTACAGAATAATACGCATCCCTACAGAATAATACGCATCCCTAACCGTTGAATGGTTGCAATTTAGATGTTTTATACTAAGGATGTAGTATGAGTAAGAATAAATGAGGTGTTGGAGATGGATTCATATGGTGTATATGAATAAATTCAATGTTATGTACTATTATTTTTTTGAATTGCTTACGATTTGGATATTGGTGTTTAATAAAGGGTCAGTTTGATTAGTAACAGTCTATTTGTAGTATTTGATGCAATTCAACTGTGTTCGTAAAACTAAAAAACTTGTGCTTTGAAGTTTGTACGCTTATGCCAAACTTGCATTCAATGCATCATCGTTCAATTAATCTTGGCTGAAGTAAAACACATTCTGAATGAGTTTGATATTAAATTCAACAATTGTGCAAAAATCCAGCCTTACAAAGTCTGGTGTTTGTGGCACATTGTGGGGAATATTCCATTTTGCATTTATGGTAATCGTGAATTTCCGAATACTTAATAAAGGTAGTTTTATAAAAATATTTTTCTATTATTTTTTCTACTTATTTTAATAATTGTAAAATTATTGGTTACTTGTTGGGTTGGTGAGAATAACACCCCTTAGAGCAACTTTAACGCAGGGTTGTTAAACCAAATTTTTTTATAATTTACGTTAGTAATAAGGAATTTGCATTATAGGAGAGCTGACATGACATCCAAGTGAACTAAAATTTAGTTCCCATCATCTATATAGTTAACGTTAACTATGTGAAACCTATTATAATATTATTTAATATTAATAAAATATTCTAAATATTCCAACAACATTAAAGTAAGGGTATGATATTTGAAAATAATAACGGTCATATTATCATTTTTTACCTTCTATAAATTCTATAGAAATTTTAATTTTTTTTACACAGTTTTACTTTTAAATTTTTTTCGTTCAATTTTCAATCTTATTTATTTATCAAATGGATCTCAATCAATCGAATCCTTATTATAATTATATTCTTATGAAAATGTAATTTTTTTTTTATGTATTATTGTTGTGAATTTTGTATCATTTTTAATTTTATAATAAAATATATTTAATATTATTTTTAAGTTTTTAAGGTAAATTTTATTTAAAAAATTATATGTATTTTAATTAAAATAATTAAATTAATGGTAACTTGAATAAAAAATATAAGATGTGTGGTCAAGTTTTGGTTTCTTATAGACAACTATCATTAAAGTAAAAACTACTCAAATCAACTCTAAATTTTTTAAATCCTACAAATCACTTTGGACCCACAAAAAATATCTTAGTTTACCCATTTAATTTACTCTCAGTAAAACTCTACTCGATGTAACTAACATCTTCACTGTTATCACTTTTCCAAAGAAAAAGATGGATGTTATACACTATTGTATTAAACATCCAATACGTGACCATCATTCCATTAATATAACCGTGACATTTTAAACAAATTTCACCAACAAATAGATGGAGGTTGGTTTACTTACACGAGATAACAAAGTCTTTCAATTAAAGTTATTGATTAATTGATACATTATTGGTTACTTTTATACATAAAATTAAGTACGTTAATACTTATATATTTTTTTTTATAAAAAAAAGTTTATGTGAGTCGGATTTCGATACTCACCAAGATCAGACCAAATATCAGAGAGAATGCTTATAAAATTACTTACGGATGATTACTAAATAAATCTTCACATAAAAGTTAAATTCACAACCTTTTGATATGTGAGTCAACTCCTTCCCAACTCTTTTTATATTTATATCGTTAAATTTGCTAAATATTTTACTAATTAATTAATTTTTAAACTATAAATCATCACTCATCAATATAAAATTAAGTAGGTTAATACTTATGTACTTTTATATTTTTTCTTGGTAAAAAAAAGTTTATGTGAGTTGGATTTCGGTACTCACTAAGATCAGGTCAGATATCAGAGAATGCTTATAAAATTACTTATCAGAGAATGCTTATAAAATTACTTACAGATGATTACTAAAGAAATTTTCACATAGAAGTTAAATTCACAACCTTTTGATATGTGAGTTAACTCCTTCTCAAACCTTTTTATATTTATATCGTTAAATTTGCTAAATATCTTACTCTTAATTAATTAATTTTTTAACTATAAATCATCACTCATCAATATAAATTAGCTTTTTAAACAAATTACAAAAGAGTATACTTCCGTTCATAAAAAGTGTGATATACAACCATTTTATACAAACTAAAAATCATAAATAAACAAAAATATTAATTTTAGAGTGTACTTGAAAAAAAGTAATTAATTTATATTGGATGTTGTATCGGATGATACATTGTGTGATTTGTTTTATGAACGGTTCTATCGATGATGAGTGACAGATTAATCAAAGGAGTTCTACTAATGCCTCCTTCGTGGACTGTGGCAAGATGAAGGTTTCCTTGGACGACGACTAGTAGGTGGCGTGTGTGGTTGGAAGGATTGTCACGATGAGGAGAGTGATACTTTTTTGACAGCTCTTAAAATTACAAATGGTATCATCTTTTATTTTGATATTCTGTTAAATTTGATTTATCTGTAATTTGATTTATTGATATTGTTATTTGTATGTAATTTTGCATTATTTGTTTATTTGATTAGATTCTACTAGGGCTACCATCACATTCAATAAATTAGAGTTTTCTCATGACATTGTGTTTTTTATAGCCTCAACAAGTTGGTTAAAGTCAATATATTTAATGTGTTTTGAATCACAAATTAGGAAGATTAAAACATGATTTTTTTAGCTTGATTCAAATCAAGCATTCTGCTAACTTGAATCAAACATCAATTTGTAGTCTGAAATATATATTTCTTAAGTCAAATCACATTATTCTTTGAGTCGAATCACAAAGATTATGAAGTGTCGATCAATCTCAACATGCTTTGTTCTGTCATGTTGAATTGGATTATGAGCTATGCTAATAACAGCTTTAATGTCAGAGTACAATTTTAATGAAAGCTCAATTTTTATCTTAAGTTCTTCTAAGACTCTAAGGATTCATAATCCTTCACAAATACCTTGAGACATAACTCTAAACTCAACTTCTGCACTACTCCTTGCTACAACTCCTTGTTTCTTGTTCCTCCACGTCACAAGATTACCCCAAATATAGGTAAATATCCAGAGGTTGATCTTCTATCTGTGACTGAATCTGCCCAATCAACATCGGTGAAGATAGACACATTCTTTTCACTAGTCTTCTTAAAAAATAATCCATTTTCAGGATTTCCCTTCACATATCTCAGTATAAACTGACTCACTACACTGATTGAGAAAGCAATATCAGATCGAGTGTGTGACAAATAAATCAGTTTCCCAACCAATCTCTGATATCTTCCCGTATCAACAAGAACATTACCTTCTCCCTAAAATTTATCATTAGTATTTATAGAACGACATCCATTCATTCTTATTTCTTTCAATAAGTCTAGAATGTATTTCTGCTGTGAAACCATAATACCATTCTTTGACCGAGAAACCTCCATGCCTAGAAAATATCTCATGAATTCCAAGTCCTTGATTTCAAATTCTACTGCCAATTTCTCTTTTACCCTTGCCATTTCCATTGTATCGTCTCCAATAAGGACAATATCATCAACATAAACAATCAGGACAACAAATTTCTCATTGTTGGAGAATTTTGTGAATAGAGTATGGTCAGCCTATCCTTGGATGTAGCATTGATTCTTCATGGAATGCGTGAATTTTTCAAACCAAGCTTTGGGATACTACTTTAATCCATACAAAGACTTATTTAGTTTGCATACATTTGATCCAAATTTGTTTTCAAAACCAGGAGGAATGTCCATATATACTTCTTCTTCTAGATCACCATTAAGAAAGACATTCTTAATATCTATTTGATTAGGGGCCAATCCAGGTTAGCAGTAAGAGATAAAAGAATTCGTACAGTGTTCAATTTTGTAAAAGGAGCAAATGTCTCTGAGTAGTCTATACCATAGGCCTGAGTAAAGCCTTTAGCCACCAAACGAGCCTTGTACCTTTCAATTGACCCATATGAGTTATACTTCACAGTAAACACCTATTTGCATCCAACTGTCTTCTTGCCATCTGATAGCAACGTAACACTCCAAATTTTGTTCTTTTCAAGAGCTTTTATCTCCTCAGGTACAACATCCTTCCACTTTGGAATTTCTAGAGCAACCTGTATAATTTTGGAATTTCTACACAAGTCAAATTTGAGGTGAAGGCAGACATAGATGAAGACAAATTTGAAAATGAAATAAAATTAGACATTGGGTGTTTAGTGCAAGTTCTGACAAGTTTTTTAATGGCAACATGATCATCTATATCAGGATACAAAATACGACTATCAGAAACAGAGATAAACTTACCTTTCTTTTTTTAGGAGGTTAATCATTCCTCGGTTCAGATTCCTAACAGTGTTGAGATTTGGACTCGTCCCTTCCTTTATGGTGCTTTTTCATAAAAATCTTCCCTTTCTAAGTCATATTTCCTAATTCAAATTTGTTTTCTTGAAGTGACTCATTATTTTATGGCATTTCAATTAGATCATTTTTATTGTTTTCTACAAGAGAAAATGTAGTTCACAAGGCTCCTTACTCATAACAGGAGTAGGATCAAATATAAAATCATGTGCATTTTCTGTTGATGCATA